GGTGTGAAGACTTGTGTTTCTCTGTAGCCCCTACAATTATAGGTTAATTACAGGTGATAGGCTTTGAGTGGTCAAACAGGATGCTCAGAGGTGTTACTAGACCTGTTTTGGGGTATTTGTCTATCGGCAGGACAAATTTACAATTTTTCAAATTTGCAAGTGATGGTCTGTTTACCAAACTCCAGACATACATTGAATGGTTGAGACATTTATAACATCTTAGACATTGGATGCCTGTTTTGAGAAATGTGAGTAGGATGCATTTGTCAGTACCGGGCATCCTTCCTATACCTTTTACAGGTTTCTCTTGAAATACATATTTATTCTTTTGTTTTCTTTAGCTGCTAGGTCAAGTGAAATGCATATGTAGTTTCCTTGCCTTCACTGGCTCTCTTAGACACATACATATAATGAGCGTTTCGGATCTCTGTTAACCATTTTAACCATCACTTATTATTTTATGGCATGGGTCTCGTATTGGGTACTGCAAGCATTCCACTGTTTCGACACCTAATGGATTGCAAGCCATTAGTGAAGTTTGATTTTCTTGTGGCAGCCTTGTTACCACAATCCAGTCTTGACCCAGACATTGTCTTGCATTTTTTTGCAAGAGACACTGTCCAAGCTTTCACAGTTTTCATGTGCAGTACTAGGTCTTTCTCCTCCTCTTCATTCGTCCACAGCACCATGCAGGATTGTGTTCGTAAGGCTGCAAGTCCTTGTTACATGTTTAAACCACTGCCTCTTTCTTACAATTTCAAGTAAGGATTTGTATTTGTTGACTTCATCTGATTTGATCTTTTACAGATTCATTTGTTTTGTGTGCAGTGTAGGGTATGTGTAGAAGTCTTCGGAAGCCCCCCATTTCAAAGGTCTCTTCGCTTTTCCAGTGCCCAAGTGAATGTCTGGGGCTCACAGCAATAGAGAGTTGTTAAAATTACACCATGAACACCCCAAGGACCTGCCACCTGCTGCTGCTGCTGCTGCCAGCAGTGGGGGCTGTGCGCCATGGGGGATATGTAGAGGGGTCCCCACATACCCCAGCCCTCCCTCACACCCCACAAACCCCACACATACACACAACCTGCTCATCCCCTCTCCACAACTGTCCCCCAGATACATACCCACAAGCCTGAACATACCCTACAGCCCCCCACACAGACAGCCACACCCCCTCACAAACCCCACAAACACACACCCACATATATACCTCTCACTCCCCCATCCCACACCTCGCACACTCCCCCAACACGCAATATACAGGAGTAAGACTTTATTTTGAGCTATAATGCAATCACTTCTGTATACACTATGCAAACGCACATAAATCAGGACAAAAATATATTTTTAAATGAAGTTAAAATATGTTATAGTAGATATTTGATTTCTAGTATATGATTTGGAGAGGTTTGAGGTTCTAAGATAGCAACCTCTCCCCCCCAAAAGGAGTACTTTCTGGGGGTAAAGGGAGGGACTTCCAGTGGTTAGGGGTCAGGGCTAGGGGACTTCTGGACCCAAGATGGTGACCAGGGAATGGGGCACCTGTCAAGGGGCGGGGCTCCTGTTGCATCCCTTGACAGCTCAACAAAGCTCATTAAGCAGCCCTCCAGCTGAAATAATTGCCCACCCCTGACACAAAGGAACCTTATAGCTGCTCAGATCAGTATAGGAGAGGTAGCATAAAGCTCCTGTACCTCTGATCCCCACTCTACTAAATGCTGTTCAAGCTGATCTGAAGATCAAGCCTTTCAGCCCATGAATGTTGTCCTCATCTGCTGCAGTCTTCATTAGACCAAAATATTTCTCATATATTTTGCCTATATCTTGAGATTACTTCTTTGTAAGGCAGTCTGATAACCAAGAAACTGTGTTCTAGCACAGTTCAAGGAACTTTTCAGCAACTGTATTCCAGCAACTTTTCCAGCTCTCTCCCTGCCACAGGACCCTGCCCTGGTACCACAAAGGTGAATTTGGAAAGCAGGTTGAGATTGTAATTCCTAATCTATACATTAGTTTGCTGCTGTTTGTTTAGGCCCTGTGACAAAGCCATGTGTCATCTCGTTTAACTAGGAAAAATTTTCCATACTGAAAAAGAAGTCACATGATTTCCTTCCTTCCTTTCTTCCTTGACAGTATTGTTTTATGGGAAGTCCTTCTTGTAAAAAAAAGGCAGACATGTCAGTGATGCCTACTTTCTGATGAAAAGATTCAACCTTTTTTTTCCTAACAAGATCTAAATTTAAGATGCATATTACATTCCAAAGCTACGTGATAAAAAGTAATTGAAATCTTTGTAATGAGTTGACTAAAATTCAATCATATTTATATTAAACTTTTTTCCATAATATTATCCTTTTTGAGGGAGGAAATGCATCTTGTACACTCTGTGTCTTTTATAACAGAAAATATAGTGTATAACCTCATTTCTGTTTCCTCTGTTTTGTTGATAGAAGTGAACATAGGGATCTCAAAGAAATTTCAATAGTATTTTAACTAAGCAGTGGAAAATTAAATTTGATAATACAGTGTTTTTTGCACTTTATTTGAATTTGTCCTTTGTGCCACTGAGCAAAAAACATATTTTGGAACAGAAATTGTCCAAACTTGTACAAAATGAAATGCAGAAACTGCTTTTTACTGAAATGAAATTCTCTTTGCATTTGCGAAGAAAAGTAAGCAAAATGTTTGCTGCAGGATTGTTTGGTAGTTTCGAAGTGGCATGGCACCACTTCCTCGAATGCAGAGTTCTGATGCAGAGTTTCCTGGGGCACCAGCTGCCAAATAAAAGAAAATATTACCGAACTTACAATTGTCATGCATCACTTCATAAATTCTGTGACGGATTATGTTACTGTGTAGCATTATTTTATCTCTTTTGACTGTAGGTATTTTATGCTCATTTACAAAACCTATTTTTCCCATTTTTTAGAACATATAACTAGGATAATATTGCTATTTCATCCATCTTCTTCCTCCTCACCTACTATTTAATTTTACAGTCTTCTCTCCCCTAGCAGTTTATTGCTTTCAGATTATTGTTTTGTTTTTAATAAGGGCTTTGTGTTTATCTTTGAAGCCTTGAACAGTGAGCATTTTTTGTACATCAGTGATTCAAATTTACTGTTTGATAACCACTTGAATTGATCTTATTCCATCATCAGTACTGGGTTAAAGATAATAATTTGAATTGGAGTTGTCCATGATGAGGGGTTTTACATACTTGAGTAAAGTCCTTTATTAAGCATGTATTTAATAATCTGTATTGTAGGACTATCTTTCCTCATTACCTTTATCTTTCTCAGTTGGAGTTGTATGTAGTTTAATTTTCATTTAATTATGCAGAAGTAAAAACTATTTAATCCCTTGATAATTTTACGTAACTAAATAAAAATATCTTTGTAGACATTGCATTCATTCAGTTCCTTAAGTTTCTCAAAGTTATTAAAAGCCACCAAAGTAAAGAAAATTAGAGTAAAGATTTAAATAGTTATTTTAGCAGCAGTTAAACCCTTTTCTCCCCCAGACTTCCAGTTGCGGGCTATTTTAGGTCAAGTATACTATAGAACTACAAGACTAAACCCAGGGTTTTGAAGACCTCATATACAGAAGAGCCTTCAAGTCTGTTGCATGTTCCTTTGATTCTTCCTGAGACCCAGAACACCACCATGACAATTCAGTCTTGCTTTCCAGGTGCTTCTTTTATATGCAGGCTGGTATGTACACTAAGGCAATATTTGCTCAAAACATATTAGGATTGGGAGCAAAACTACTGAAACAAAATGTTGGGAAGCTAACAAACCAAAGCAATAGATCTGTTCCTTCAGGTTGAATAGTCCCACTTTTTATGCTACCGTTTCACTGCCATTGCTTATAAGGGAAAATCTACCAAATGCTACGGATAAGGGCAAGGAAGCAGTTCACTGGAAAAACGGAGCAGGTACAGATCTTACTTTGCATAGATTCGTGCAAAATCTAGTTATGTTGCATATACCATCCTCAGTCTAAATGTGGATCACTGGGTACTGCCTACTGAAGTCAGACCTGTTCTAACACATCTTCACGTTGGCCAAATTTTGTTCCTTAGTTATCTGCCACTTGTCAGCAAGATTATGAACATCAATGCTAAACTCGAGAATATATGTTAAGTTATGGAAACATTGTCATTGAAACAGAGAAGGGTTTCTAACCATAGGACTTCAGATTTCTATACAGACCAAAATAGGAGAAGCTTTCTAAAAAGTATTTAAAAACAAAAACTGGAGTATGCATTTAAGTTGAAGATATAGTAGAGAAAACGGATGTAATGCATATAATGGTGTAAATGTACAAAAATATTGGTAAAGCATATGACAAATAGTGAATGAACTGCTGTAAAGGATGACAGTCCTCTACTGAATCCAAGATGGGTCTCTTGGGTGTTGTTCTTGATGGCTTTTTTTGGATCCAGTAGGTTTTAATCTTAGCAGAACTTCTTTTTAACTGTAATTTTGTGAAAGCAATCCTGAAACCAGAAATAAACTGCAGAGTTTTTAGGGCACTTTCTCTACTCTTGCTGAAATTATTATAATCAGAATTTCATTATTCAAAACACTCTGCAAGCTTGCTTGTGGAGAGAATCTCAATTACTTTATATATACCAGCGATTGCCAATTTTTCCATTCAGGATGACATGTTTGTATGCTTCTAGTCATGCTATACATCAGAAATTTTGCCTTTTTAGCTTGTCATTTGTTGTCTTCATAAATTGTCCACAGTATATTTATATTTAGTTTCTTATGGCATGTCAGGGTTGTTTTTTGTTTTTGTTTTTTACCAGTCCATTGTTTTATTTGCATATGTAACTTTATATTCCATTTCATTCTCCTGTTGTCAGTCTTAATCTTCCTACATTATCTCCTATTTTGTATCACTTAGAAAAATAATTTGTGTTTAGCATCTGTTACTATGTAAATTTCAAAGTTTTACTTTGCATTTCTAATACCCTTCTTTATCTGTTTTAGCATCTCCCTGTATTCTTCCCAGTGTTCTTTACTTCCTATTTTCTTGTAAGTATAGCATATTCTATTTTTCCCCTCAGTTCCTTATTGTCCTGTTTAAGAATGTGGAATTTATTGAAGCTACATCTCACTTCTGAAGAAACTATTTTAATTATCATCTAAATTTAGTCTGGCTTTTTCATCCCCCTACCAGGGGTACCTGATATTTGTCTAAAAACATTTTGTGTAATATCCTTTCACATGCACCATTATTTAAAATTCTGCAGCTTTCCCATAATAGTAATAAATTTGATTTCCACATCACATTTAATCATATTGTGGCCACTTGACTCTGTTCTGTTTCTAATTTATTTATTCTTCTCTGTTCAGTAGTTGGAATCTGATCTGGACAGGTGGGTCCCTGACAAGTTTCAAGAAGCAGTCATTTAATTCATCCATCATCTCTATCTCATCTGTACCACATTTTGAAACTGTTTCTAAATGAAAATCAGGCTGACAAATATACATACACTGAAAATCTTGTTAACTATGCCTATACATCTTTTACATTATGAAATAGTAATTCCTATGTCTCACTTCTAGGCTTCATTCTTTCAGTCTTTTGGTGCCTTGGCTTGCTCTCCATTAATTCTTTCCCAGAACAAAAAGTAGCCTTATAGACACGTACTAAATGTGCGGCTACGCAAGGCCTACATATCTTTGTAAGTCCTGCTGTGTGAGTTATTGATAATCCCAGCATGCATTTATGAAACTCCCAACAAAGCTGTTAAATCCCTTTCCATTTTAAATGATTAGGTTTAGAACCCCAAGTCTCCATTGCCTTCCAGCAACAAACTTGTCGAAACTTACTTGCGTTTCAGCTGCCAAAATTCTCACCAATTTCAAAATGATAGTTGCATCATTTTCACTTCCTGCTAGACAAATTGTTCCTACTTCCCCCTTTAAAGCATCATATTAACCTTATCCTACCATCTTTTCTCCACCTAAAAATGCTACCAGCAAAAGTTACATTTGGACTGCTGTCCACCCTGCTTTGCACGGTGATGTACAAAGTGTCAGGGTTGGCCCTGTCTGTACTAAGGATTTAGACACTATATATAAAAACTGTCTTGAATTTTTAATACCCATCGCCATGGGTGCTTAACCTGTTTCATTTGTCTCATTCTTTATGGAATTTGCTCTAGCTCCTGTTTTTCCTCTGCCATTTGTAGTTTCCTGATTTTTTAACAATGCACATGTATCTCTGCAAGGTAACGTTCTTTAGTAGTAATCTGAACTGGTCAGACACAAAAGTTTCATATTTGTACATTTTTATTGCTTAATATCAGTTATTCCTTTAAAATGCTAGGGGTTTTAGGCAGCGACGTAACTAGGGGTAGGCAAGAGGGGCACCAGTCCCAGGTGCCAGAACCACCTTCCCACCCCTACAGAGTCTGTGACCCGGCAGCAAGAGCACCTCCACAGGGTTGCTCTTATAGCAGCAGCCAGTGCATGGACACTGTGCTGTTACTGCTGCAAGAGCAAGGGCTAGCAGAGCACTTGGCGGTGGCAGCTGAGAACCCTTTTGGAGTTCACAGCATGGGTAAGACTCCTGTACCCACACACACTGTCCCCTGGCTCTTGGAAGCTCCCTCTTCCTCACCACTCTCCCACAGGGTTTGCCCACGGTGCAAAACCTGCTTGTTTGCCTTTAGCTTTTGGTAATTGCTTTATCGTTTCTTCTGCATTTCTTCAGCTATTATTGCCAGTTGGTACATCTTTAATTTAGATACATACAGTAGTTGGAAAAGAGTCCAGCAGTCTACAAAATCAGCAGTTGCTTGAGAAATAGACTAGGGTGTTGGATTAGAAGACAGATTTCTTGTCCTGGCTTGGATACTGCCTTGCTCTTTGGACTCAGGGAAGTCACCAGCAGCATATATCTACACTGCATATTCCCTGAGGTGGTAGGGCAGGGGAAAGTGGAGGGTGATGTGTTAACATAGTAAAATCTAATCATATCAATCATTTTTGTCCCGTGTCTGTAAAATCTTTGCCCCTAGATCTCCCTGCCTATTTTTACCCTCATTTCTGTGAAGAAAGGATTTTAACCATTACTGCAGTATCTGAACCATGTGCCTTTCCCCACTTTGGCATCTTTACTGCTGAATACCAATTAGGGACTTACAAAACGCACATACATGCATGCGCACATACTCTCACATATACTTTTCTGTAGCTCCCACATAAACACATGGGCACTGCTTTGGATATGGTTCTGGGCAGCGGGCAGTAACACAAAGCTCTGGCCACTTGGTTCCAAAGGAGCTGGCTTGACTAAGGGCCAGGGTTGCTGCAGAAGCTGAGGGCATCCATGCAGACAGCTCAGGTTCTGGGAGTTGTGAGCGGAGATCCACTCCTACTGTCCCCTGAAGGAACAACATGGAGAAATTTTGGTGAGAGGAAGTTCAGTGGGTTTCCTTTCCCCAATTCCCTTCTACAGATTTCTCCATGAAAGGGTATGCTCTATCCCGAGTGATGAAATCAGTGATGATCAGTGAGTACTTTACTAATGTTTGGGAAAGTACATGGACGATTTAAATTGTGGCATGTACCAAGCATTATTATCATTGCATTAGTTCTTCACTTAAACTCATTTTGGCTCGCTTTTCAGCTCCAGATATATTACCACATGAACTGGCATTCATTGAGACCCAGCTGCCAAATCACTCGGCCTCAATTTTTATAGTATTTTACCACTGAAACAAAAGTTCTGGTCTGTTAATATGTCTCTAACAATCTCATGGATACAGATAGTGCAGGTTTACATACTCTTAAGGTATATTGTACATGTACTGCTAGTTGATGTGTGTCATCCAGTTTAGAGTCATTTACTATTCAGATCTCCAAGGGCCAAATAGTTGCATATTTCAAAGTTGTAGCATCAAAAACTGGATTTTAAAAATCTACAGATGTGTAATTCAGAAGTTCCAAGTCTGTTCTTTGTGGAGCACTTAGTGGGGTTCTGCTGAGAAATGGCTAGTAACATGGTGCTGGTTGTGCCTGCTTATTTCCAGCTACTCAGCCGCATTCAAAAAACAGCAGAAAATATAACTGCCATTTACCTAATACATCTTCTTAGTATAGGTGCTACTCACATAGGTGTGGAACAGAAGTCCTTGACATAGGACCAGGTTCTGCAGAGGGTGGAGGTGAGGGATTTCACTTTTGGGATACTCCTTGCGCCCTGCCTCCCCTCCTCTTTGAACAGCAATTCCTGATAGGCCTTCTATGGTGCTTGAGGTGCTTTAAGAGCTCCTTTAATGATGACTTTGGTTCCTTTACCCAGATATGAGTTTTACAAAAATGTTGAAAATGTTTATAAATAACTTAAATATGCACCAAAGTATATACTTCTGAAACTGGGGTGAGATTTCTGTATTGCTAGCCATGCCACAAAAGCAAGTTTGCAGTCATCTTGAATAAAAATCTAAAATACTAGAACACTAACAATTTTTTGTATTAAGTAGTATTTTGGCAGTTTATTTAAGTTTGTTGTTTCAGCTGTTGTTTGGTATGGTTCACCAAAAAAACCCACTAAAAAATTAACACCCAAAAAAAGGGAGGCAAAAACCTTCCAGTGTTACTTACTGGCATTGATAAAAAGTTAACACTGTATGGTGGTTTGAATATTTTAACTAAGACAGTTTGTAGAAATATCACTAGCTTGTACGTAACAGTGCAAATGTCTACTTCTGAGTTAGCAAAATCAGTCACAGATTTGTTTTTAAGCATGTTACCTAACTTCATTAATAAAATTAGCCCTTCTATCTCTATGAGTATAATTCAGCATAATTTTAAAAAGGATCAATCCAAAGTACTGTAGATAAGACAAATATAACAAGTATGTAACTTTCATTTTATTGTTTCCACTTATGTAATTTAAAATGCCCAAACTGAGGTAAATGTATTTAAATTTAGGAGAGAAAAATCAGCATAAGGTGTATGCAGTAAGAAACAACGTGTCGGGGTCAGAGAAATTCTGATTAACTTCCATTCTGGTAAAGAGAGAGAGACAGAATACATTATCCATGCCACACCCTTGACATTAAGCACCAAGTACATCATGAAAGCCTACAATAAGGGGTCCTGAGAACTGGGTGTGGCACTTGATCCCAACATGCCAGGCTGGGCAGGGGTGGTGCCAGGACTATGAGGCCTGATTCCAGTGCATAGTGAGCAGGAGGGTGTAGGGCTGGGCCCCCAGGTCCCAATCCTGGCACCTAGGGGACAGGAGGGGATGATGCCGGGTTCCTAGGACCCAAACCCAGCACGCAAGGCTGGGGGCTGGCCTGGCTTACAGGTGGGCACCACGTCACTGATCTGGCCTACGGGGCCACATGGTTGAGCACCACTGGCCTACAGCTTACAAAATTGAAGACAGCCAACTGTACCGCCATCCTTAAACTGTACCATTGCAAGTTGTAGATATGCTCTATTAATACTGTGATATCATACCAGGGAGAGAAGCTAGTTTCACTTTAGCTAGTTTCACTTGTAACACTGCATTTTGGTGTGGAATACAGGTTTTGCTTGCTTTATGCTGCACATGCATTCCTGGAAAACAGAGCATAACTCAAATTCACATAAAGGGAACCTACTTTACAATGTAACAAATAGGGATACATTCCAAGACCTCGACTGTACTGACCCCCAGACCCATTTCTACCACATTTCCCAGACAATTTTGGTACTCACCAACAGCAGACAGTACACACAAGCACAGGGTATTATCATAACTACAGAAACCCATGTCACAGGCGATGAGTGAGGAGCACAGATCCACACAGGAGACTATATTTTGGTGTGCGTCACTCCCACAATGCACTGCACAAAGCGGCTGTCTTCAGGCTTCCACCACACCAGTTGCATAAGAGTGAAATTTACCTCACATATAACAAATTTTTCATATAGAAAAGGTCATCACATAAGAGCGAATTCATACATACAGAACCCACATAAAGTGAGGAAAACCTGTACGCTACTCCAGATGCGCTACTCCAGACACT